CCTCAGCTTCAGGATCTGTTCTTCCAGTGAGCACTCAGGGCTGATTTCCTTAAGAATGGATAGGTTTTTTTGTCTTGCAGTCAATGGGACTCTCAAGAGTCTCCTCCAGCACCATAATTCAAAAGCATCAATTCTTTGGCGATCAGCCTTTTTTATGGTCCAGCTCTCACTTCCATACATCACTACTGGGAAAACCATAGCTTTAACTATACGGATTTTTGTCAGCAAGGTCAGCATATTTGTTAGGGCCTGATAAAATTGCTTCAGGAACCAGATTTGACTCCACCAGGGCTGCATGCATTGCATTGCTTGCCATGTGTGCCTGTCATATGCCGAGCTGACAGGATTTTTGTTGGTGCAATATACATAGAGAGAGTGTGTGTGAAAGAAAGGAGAATTCCTGGATGCAAAGATCCAATTAGGGACTAATACTATTTGGAGAAAGAACTCAGACAGAGATTTAAAATCACCAAACCTGCAGCATAGGAGTGCATGAAAATATATGCTGTAAACCCTTTAGAATGTGCCCCTCCAAATGTGTTCCAATTTTTTTCCTTTAAAAAGTTCCTTTCCAAAGTTTCCTTCTGCCAGCATAGGAAAAAGACCACACGTTTGGTAAGTTAAAAAATGGTTTACTTACAAACTCTCCAAATGTCGGATTCATGTGCTTTTCCATACATCAGTCATAAAAGTTGCACAGGCAATAAAACTTAGTTTAGTTCCAAAGTGGCAAAAGTTCCTAGATTACTGGTATAGGAACTTAATAATGGCTGGTGAGAGTCATGTGGGTGAGCTTGAACAACTAGGTGAAACCTCTTTCTTTACACACTGATCTGAAGGTTTCCTAAAAAAAAAGCTCAACAATTTTGGGGGGGACCTGGTTTTTACTCTTTGAAATATGGCAACCCAATCAAGGTAAGGGAAGTAACTTAAGAATGTTGGTTCTGTGATGCTAGTTATGCCACACTTTTATCATATCATATATACGCAAGAACTCATTACTTAATAATCCCCGCCCCCCAAAAAACCATCACCACATATAGTGCCCTTAATAAAACATCTCTTTTACTTGAACTGTTTGTTTCATTACATCTATCAGCTGACATTATGATGAATGGGACCAAAGGTCAAGAATCCTGTTACAAAAGGAACAGCTGGGAAGCCTCCAGGAGAGATGATTCCTGTTTATCTTACAAATGCTAATTTGGGCCAGTCATTTTTCTGTACTGTATCCATATACTGTACTGTACTGTATCTAGTTATCTCCTGCTTGGACTACTGCAATGCGCTCTACGTGGGGCTACCTTTGAAGGTGACTCGGAAACTACAACTAATCCAGAATGCGGCAGCTAGACTGGTGACTGGGGGCGGCCGCTGAGACCACATAACACCGGTCTTGAAAGACCTACATTGGCTCCCAGTACGTTTCCGAGCACAATTCAAGGTGCTGGTATTGACCTTTAAAGCCCTAAACGGCCTCGGCCCAGTATACCTGAAGGAGCGTCTCCACCCCCATCGTTCTGCCTGGACGCTGAGGTCCAGCGCTGAGGGCCTTCTGGCAGTTCCCTCATTGCGAGAAGCAGGGAACCAGGCAGAGGGCCTTCTCAGTAGTGGCGCCCGCCCTGTGGAACGCCCTCCCATCAGATGTCAAAGCGGTAAACAACTACCTAACATTCAGAAGACATCTTAAGGCAGCCCTGTTCAGGGAAGTTTTTAATGTGTGATATTTTAGTGTATTTTTGGTTTCTATGGAAGCCGCCCAGAGTGCCTGGGGAAACTCAGCCAGATGGGCGGGGTACAAATAATAAATTATTATTATTATTATCATCATCATCATTATATCTAAGAATGCATTAGCCCCTTCCACAATTCCTCTTCAGGCGTGTATGAATTCAGAGAGAGAAGTGCAGAGCACTGTCCATTGACCATACCTGGAGTATTGCCGTCCAATTGGATCGACTGTCCATGTGTTTGGTGGAAGAGACAGCTGATGCACATTAAGCTGAATGCCTGTAGGGTCCTCCAAGCAAACAAGCCTATATGCCTTTGACAGACATACAATTTATTAAACTTCCCTTCTCAGCAACACCGTGTTGTTTTGAAATTTTGAAGTCTGAAAGCATGAGAGTGGGTGTGAAATGTCACAAGTGCAGTGACTTCCTCATGGAAGCTCAGGATATTAATATGTCAGAGTAAATTGCAAATTATTCAGCCTACATTTTACATTTATTTTCCTCTTTTTCAGAGCGGTGCTGTGCTCAGTGCACGCAGAGCCTGGACAGTTAATTGACTGAGGAGGGCAACCTCAATTTTGAGTCCATGGTTTCAATCCCTCTTTTTCTATGGTTCATTTATATAAGCAGAGGGAAACCTGCCATGGTCCTCCAGATGTTGGTGGACTCCCATTCCTATCAGCCACAACCAGCTTGGCCAAAGGTAAAGGATGATGGGAATTGTAATCCAATCTCTGAAGGCTTGTAAAGGTTGCAAATATAAATGCCCAATTTATATTATTCTGGGTGTTTTAACTGGTCCACGCCCTACACACTGTTGCTTTGCTTTCAGTTTGTCTTCAGATACCAAGTAATTTTTGCTTCTGGAAACTTTGTATCTGATGTCACAGAAGTAACACTCTCCATGCTTCTCACATATGAAGGGAGAACTTTGCTTCCACCATAGCTGTCAACGTTCCCTTATTCTGAGCAGGATTCCTCGCAAGAAAAGGGAAAAGTTGACGGCTATGGTTTCCACCCCTTTAGACTCTTCCCCCCTTGGGGAATCTGAGGCTCTCCTGATGTTGCTGGACTGTATCTCCTATGAGTTCCAGCCAGCATGGCCAATGATCAAGGATGATAGGAGTTGTGGTCCATCAGTGTTTGGAGGGCAACAGATTCCCTGCTACTGCCTTACAAAGCCATTTCCGCCTGCGGAGGAGAGGGGGTTGCGGGCGAACCCCTCCCACACTCGCGGGGCTGGCCTTTTGCCCCGCGAGACCCAGGGAATCCCCGGGCGTGCCTGCGACCCGACCAGCCAATCGGCGGGCCGGGGAGGCGTGGCCTGACCTATTTAAGGCCAGGTACACCCGGGGACCGCCCTCTTTTCCCCTTGCCAGCTGAGCGATATTTTGGTTACTGTATCTGCGGACGTCTCCTCGCGTTTTCTTTCCTGGTTCCCCTTTCCTGCTTCTATCGTCACTGAGGATCAGCACGCGTGGGTGCTCAGCCTTTCAGCAGAAAGAAGCGTTACATCAAGAAAAGAGCTGGAATTATTGCCGTTCATACAGCTAGCGCTGCTGCTCTGGTGCCCCAGTCGGTGGAGCGACGGCAGCGCTTCCCCCCCTTTTTCTCTGAGCCTCCACCCACACATCGTGCTGGGGATCCGGTGCAGCATGCTCTCACTCGGCGGAGGATTTCTGTTCAGCAAAAACTCGGTGCGCAGGAACCCGGAAGGTTGAGGTTTGGACGTGGGGCTCTTTCCGCGCTGTTACTTCCTCTAATATTTAATCGTTTTGGCTTTCCGGTGCTGTAAGGGGAGGCGCGCATTCATTTTCCTGGGTCTAGGAGACCTAATTATTTTCCTTTATATTGCGTCCTTGCTTACTTTTACGAGGCCGTTTATTCGTTGCCAGGGTAACCACCATTTCCTGTAGCCATCCCAGCACACCACGTGGTTTGGGCTTGCCTCGGCCGCCATTTTAAGTGGGGCATTCAATCGTTGGCTAAACAGCAGGCGCCATTTTGGTGGGGTCCACGTGGCCAGGCCGAGCGGCCATTTTGAGAGGGCAAGAAATTAGTACGCTTTTCCCTGCGCCCCATTGGTCGGCGGGATTGTAGCAACGCTCCGTTTTCGTAGTTTGTTTGTAGGGTGCCCACAAGCCTGCAGCTTGCCAGCTTCCCTTTAATTTTATGTCTTGCTTTTTTCAGTTTTAATATTGTACGTTTGTTGCAGGGCCGCTTGTTCTGCTGCTTGGGGGGAAGGGATAAACGTTCATTTCTGGATTCTGCTATTCTCTCCTCAGCTTGCTAGGCTACTTTGGGAGGCTAGGGGGCTTGGGGAGAAGTGGTCACTGTGCGTTTTGTTTTGACTCTGGTATTTTGAATTTCTTTAGTAACACAATTTCCTGGTTCCTTTACTTCATTGGGGGTTTTATCTTGACTGTATTATAAAACGTCGGTCCAATAATAGTGATAACATTAATAATATAATAGTGGTAACATTAATAATAATAATCTAATACGAATATAATAATTTCAACACCATAATAAAAACACAATAAATATCGCTTACATACTCATACATATACCCATATACCTACACACACATATTAAGATAATAACAATACTAAAATACATACATAAATAAATAAAATTAAAAATAATAATAATAATAATAATAATAATTAATAAATAAATAAATAAACAAAGAAATATAATTTTTTTTTAATAATTAAAAAATACAATTAATAAACAGAAAACTTAAATAAACAAGCAGGAAACTTAATAAATAATACAATTGCATCATCTAGTAAACTAGCAGCAATAGTGTTATTCTGACTGGTACCCCTGCAGCTACCCGGGTCGGGTGGTATACAAGTAATATTTAAGTAGAGAGTAAACACCAGATAAGGTGGGCAATTAAATACTTAATCAGATTAAAAGAGACTCGGTCCTTCCTATAGCCTTAAGGGGTGCAGACAATACTGAGCTAGGCGGTCACCCCAGTGGCATCGGGGGTTTAAAAGTGCACTGATATCGTTCAGATCACGCGTTTAGTTTGTCATGGCTTCCGATAGGGAACAACAAGCATCCACTTCTGGCAATCAACAGGCACCTGGCGCAAGTAACGTTGGCGTGCATACGGGGTCCATGCCCTGTGATCCACAGGCCTTTGCTCAATTTTTCCAGGCATTTGAAACATTTTATAGGCAATGTAGGCCTGGGGCTTTGGGTCCCCCCGCCCCTGAACCGTCACAGGAAATAATTCCAGACACTCCCCCTAACATGCAAGGTCAGCAGGTATTGCCAGGGCCTTCGGCGGGCGTCGCCCGTTCAGAAACCACTAATTTGGGTCGGCCTAATACACGTGCTCAGGCAGCCATTACCAAGAGAGCAAACCAAAACTCGGGAAAGGGTAAGGCCACAGCAAAAGGCCCCGGCAAGGGTAAGGCCATTGCCAAAGCGTCAAGTAGAAACGCCCTCTCACAGGTGGTAGACATTCCTAGTGTGTTTCAGGAACAGCAGCATCAGCAAAGTTCTACAGAGGACAGTGAGTGTTCCGGATTAGAGGAGGAGCACAGGGAACCTCAAGTTGCTCAGCCAGTGGCTCAGGGGAACGCGACCGTCGTAGAGGTGCCAGGTGGCAAGCGCAAATCCAAGAAGAAACACATCTCTGCCAAGAAGAAGAGAAGTAGGCAGTCCGAGACGGAGGACGATTCAGGTACGTCATCATCCGATTCGGATAGCGAGGGCCCCATGGATGGTTACTGGGGTTTGGGTGAAGGGAATCACGGGATCCCGCTATGGGCGCATGAAAGGAGGGCCAACTCACATCGAAAAACTTTCAACGGAGTGCTGGACTGGAAAGATGGGGCTTTGGTTGAGGATGTAAAGGTGGCCACCAATCAGTCCACTGATTTTATATTGGGAAATCACTTGTCACAGAGGAAGAGGAATAAGATCCTCAACGGTGATTACGTGGACATGTTTACTTTGCTCCCTCCCGCCAAACTACTGGGTAAAGGTGAAAAGAGGCGAACTTCCGGTAAAGGGAGGTACAGGACCCCTAGGGCAGAGCACACCTTTGAGAATTGGTTAGACGGGTACCAGGTTTTCATGGGTGTTGTTTCCGCTGCGTATCCTCGGCGTGCCATGGATTTGGTTGCATATTTAGCGCATGTGAGGCGGGCTCACTCGCTCGCAGGGGAACACGCCGTTTTAACTTATGATGAGAACTTTCGTAGAAACGCTTCTCTACTACCTTCCACCCGATGGGACCTAACGGACCCTAACTACTGGGGCGAGGACGTTAATCCCTACATTGAAAAGAAAAACCTGGGATTTGCCAAGGCAGGTAAGACCGAGGCAAAGCGGCGTCGCCTCTGCTGGGAGTTCAACAGGGGTGTATGCGCGAGACCCTCCTGTAAGTATGTGCACGAATGCGACCGTTGCTGGGGAAATCACCCCGCCTCCGCATGCTTCAAGAATAAGCAGCAGCCCTTTCGTGGGGGCAGGGGGTACTTCCACAACACCAATCGAGGTGCCCCCCGGATCCTCCCATCAGGGAACGGGGAACCGCCAGTAACTTGCATCTGGGCCTGGCCTTCTCCCCGTCTGTCTTCAACCCATCAAAACTTTGTTAGATCAATACCCAAATAGGAAAGCCGCGCAGTACCTGTGGGAGGGGTTTTCTGTAGGTTTCAGAATTCCAGTGGCTTTTCCTCCTAGCACCGGGGATCCGCAAAACCAGAAATCAGTTAGGGAAAGGCCAGAGATAGTAAGAAAGAAGATTGAGAAAGAAATTAGGGCTGGTAGGGTAGCTGGCCCTTTCACCAAGCCCCCCGTGGAAGGTCTTCACCTATCCCCCCTGGGCATCGTACCAAAAAAGACCCCGGGGGAGTTCCGCATGATCCATAACCTGTCTTACCCAAGGGGAGGCTCAGTCAATGACGTGATTCCCCAGGAGCTTTGCACAGTTAAATACGCCTCCTTTGACCAAGCAGTAAAAATGATCCGCAGATTCGGGAAAGGGGCGCTTTTAGCTAAATGCGACATTGAGTCGGCGTTCCGCCTCCTGCCCGTCCACCCGGCCGATTTTCGTTGGCTGGGCTTCAGGTTTGAGGAGGCGTATTTCATTGACAAGGCAATGCCTATGGGCTGCTCCGTGGCTTGCTCAGCCTTTGAGTCGTTCAGCACGTTTCTTGATTGGGCACTACGCTTTAGGACTGGGTCATCTGGCGTGTCACATTACCTGGATGATTTTATTTTGGTGGCAGAAAACAGGCAGCAATGCTCCGCCCTTCTAGAGGCTTTCACAGCTCTGGCCGGTGAACTGGGGGTACCGTTAGTCCCCGGAAAAACGGAAGGGCCAGCCACCTCTTTGGTCTATCTGGGCATCGAATTAGACACCGTCGCCCAGACGTCTAGGTTGCCGAGGAATAAACTGGACGCTCTTAAGGCCCTGATACAACAGTTACTGCCACTAAGGAAAGTTACACTAAGGCAAATTCAATCCCTGCTGGGACACTTAAATTTCGCCTGTAGGGTTGTGTCCCCTGGTCGCCCCTTTTGCAGCTGTCTGGCCAGATTGTCGGCGGGTCTCAGGGCTCCACAGCATAGGGTGCGCCTCTCCAAAGAAGTCAAGGCGGACCTGGGCATTTGGCTTCAATTCCTTGACAAGTATAACGGCGTATCCTTGTGGCAGGATTCCATGGCTCTCGGCGCTGATTTTCAGGTCCATTCGGATGCAGCAGGTTCATTGGGTTTCGGAGTTTATTTCAGGGGGCAGTGGTGCGCCCAAAGGTGGCCTGACGAATGGCAGGGGCAGCCCATTACTCGGGACCTTACTTTCCTGGAATTTTTTCCTATCTTTGTAGCTTTGCATCTTTGGGTAGACCAGTTCCGCAATCACAGGGTTTGTTTTAATACGGATAATCAGGCGGTAGTAGCGGTCCTTCCTAGACAGTCTGCGCGCTCCTCCAGGGTAGGAAACCTCTTAAGTCCTCCTCTGCCTGGAACAGAATATCTATTTTTCTGCCAAATTCGTGCCAGGCAGTGATAATGACATCGCGGATGCTCTGTCTCGTTTCCAGATGGAACGCTTCCGCTCACTAGCCCCGGACGCGGAGCAATCATCGATGTCCTTCCCGGAGCATCTCTGGAGCCTTGGGAACAGGAAGTGATGAAGGGAGTATTCGGTGCAGTTGCCCCCTCCACAATGAGATCGTATACCAAGGCTTGGGCGGACTTTCTAAAGTTTCGCGGCAAAAAGCACAGCTCCAGGCAGAATTCAATTCCTTCAACCAGGGAGGTCCTTCATTACCTATCCCACTTGAAGGAGTTGGGCAGGGCACCAAAGACTCTTAATATTCAGTCCGCTGGAATCTCTTACTTCTGTAAAGCATTTTTTGCCACCGACCCGTGCGCGCAGTTTATCGTGCATAAGACTTTGGAGGGTTGGCATCAGCAGCACCCACCCAGCGCCGACAAGAGGCGGCCCATAACTTTTGATATTCTGGTCCAGATACATAAGAAATTACGCGAAATATGCTGGTCTAAGTACGAAGCTCGCCTATTCTCCGCTGCCTATTCCATAGCCTTCTTTGGTGCCCTGCGCATTGGTGAGGTAGTCTGCGAGGGAGGGGTCTCCCAAGATCAGAGAGGCATCCTCTTAAGTGATTTGACCCTTTCCGAGTCTGAGCTGATAATTCGAGTGCGGAGCTCCAAGACGGACCAACGGGGTAGGGGGGCCCTCTTGCGGTTGCCAGCCGCACGAGCGAGTGGTCCCTGTCCGGTGAGGGATACGAGGCGTTTTCTCTACCTAAGACCCAATTGCCCCGGCCCTTTCTTTATCCACGCGGACGGATCGCTTTTGGCCAGGCATCAGTTTACACGGGTGATGCGCTTGGCGTTGTCAGCATGCAGGCTGCCTGCGGCCGAGTTCGCGGCTCACTCTTTTCGGATCGGGGCAGCAACCACGGCAGTGCACCTGGGGCTTTCGGCAGAAAGGATAAAGGACCTAGGGCGATGGAAGTCGGATGCATACAAAGCCTATGTGAGAAAGAACCTTTGACTAGCGATCGTTCTCCTGACCTTGGTTTTCTATGTCTATTTGCTTTCCAGGTTACAAGCGGGTACGCATTTGGTTGGTGGGCCACAGCATCGTGTACTGGGCCAAGAATCGTGCCATGTCTACCGGGTTGGGTCCAAACTTGAGCTTGCCTGGAAATGTAGAGCTCGTGTGGATAGCGCGAAGGGGCATGCGCTGGAGTGAATTCAAACCAGTCGTAATGGCGAGAGCCGCCTCGGAAGGCCCTCCTGATGCTCTGGTCGTCCAGTTGGGAGAGAACGACCTAGCTTACCGCAAAGCGATTGATTTGAGATGGAACATTTTTGACGACTTTGCCGAGCTGAGGGCAGCTTACCCTAACATTGCTATCTTGTGGTCCTCGTTGCTTGAGAGGAGGACTTGGAGGGATTGTGCGAGCCCGGTGGGAATCAATAAGGCTAGAAAGGTCTTGGAACGGGCTGTGGAACGTAGAGTGGCGGCTCTGGGGGGGGGGGTGTTATTGGACACCCATGCATCCAGTTCAGCAACGAGGCCCTCTACAGACGGGATGGCGTGCATCTGTCAGATGCTGGGAACGACATTTGGCTTGGGGACATCTTAGCAGGGATTAGGAGTTGGTTGCAGGTTTGAAGGTATTGGCGGCGAGCTTTGCTCGAGTGGCGGTTAGGCATTGGCAGGGGTTATTGTTATGCAAATGTGTGGGGGGAAGGTAGCGCCATCACCTTCCCCCATGGAAAGGGTAGTCCGGTAGAGGACTCCGGGGGGCGTCGCCTTGTCCGAAACCTAGGGAGGTAAGGGCCTCCGGCACGCCCCCGAGCGGTGACACCCGTGGGATCCTAGTTGGCGTACTTCAACAGGACCCCCACGGTTTGTGGTTAACCCTTCCCGGCCTGCGTACCGGGTAGTCGATAGGAGCCAATGCCTAAGGCCAATACCTTTCAACTCTGTAATCAATAAAGTTGTGGCCTTTTTACGCCCATTAACCTTATATACCGTGTCCAGTGTCTTCTTTTCACAAGTGGGAGGGGTCTTGCCACGCAAAGACTGAGGCCTGAGATGCAAATGGAGAAGATCAGCCAGCAAGGTTAATGTTGTAATTAACTTTATTTTTGATCACATTTTGCCTATGTGGCACTTAAAGTTGTGCATTCCTATCCCAATATTGCATTAACATGCTTTAATGATTACTTTGCATTTAATGCCTTCACTGACAATCTTGGCCATAGTAGATCTCAAAGGTGTGTTAGAAATAGAGCTTTGAAAAGCTTCAACAGGCACAGCTCCAAATTGCCTTCATAGCAAATCAGGAAAAATGAGGTAGATTTTTGTCCTGTGTTGGGAAGCTTGTTTATTTGTGGTCTATCAAGTTCCTCTATTCTTGTGAATCCTGGAGCCCTGCTTTTTAGGGGACAACATCTTCCTGGCTCCTGCAGGTTGCAGCTATGGCTATCAAACCCAATTTGATTTAATTACTCAGAAGCATATTTTGCTTGCATATGCAAATAACTCTCCCATTGCAAACAGCAAGTGTGGAGGCGATTTTGATTGGAATCATGGAACTATGATTCAGGTTTCCCTTTGGCCCTCCATGATGCAGGTAAGCTACCCCCCACTTTTCTTTACTGGTTAAAGAAATGTCAACAATGCAAGGGCAACCTTCGTGACAGATGTCATGTCTAGTTTGGTCCTGCAAGGAAACTTTCAAAGCCTTCCCAGCTCCTAGAGATGAACTAGGCAGCTCTTATCTACCACACCACTGAAATTCAAGCATTTCCAAACTGTTGATAGGCTCCCAAATAAATCAGCAGACAACAGTCATTATCAGAGCAAAATGTGATAAAGAACAATCATTGTCCTTTGTAAGCATTATAAGTAACCATATCAAGAAAAGGCTGCCTTGTGGAAGACTATGTTTATTCAAGTTGTTACTTAGTCCCTGGAAACTCAGATCTCATTTCCGTATCACAAGGACTGAATACTCTCCATCGGTCAAGGCATACAATGTTGTCTGGAGCTCAGATAACAAGCTGATAAGGAGAAGCAGTCTGTAGAGCATTAAAACTTCTCTCATCAATATGCAATTGCAAGGGAAATATATTGCCTCCGTCTTGGAGATGGATGAGTTCAGAAATCCATCTAGGATATAAGAATTTAAGGTATCCTGTTCCCAAGTAGTTCAAGACTTTGTATATCAACAGAAGAACCTTGAACCTGATCCAGTAAACTATTGGCAGCCAGTGCAGATGTTTTAGTCAAGGTATCACATGCTGTCAGCCGTTTGCCCCCATTCGTTCACCTTCTTGCATCCCATTGCAGCAAGGAAAACCTTGCTTACCAGACACCTGCCGTCAAAAGCAGACTGAACTTGTGGGTAGGAACATATTTGGTTCAGTTCTTATTTTAATGGGAACCTACCTAACTTGCACTTCACAGTACAATACATGAACCAAAACGCAGCTTTGGATACTCCTTCCAGCCCCGCCCCACCCCAAATCCATGTACAGAAGCTAAATGTACTGGCCTTTCTACATCACTTCAACACTGGTAGAGTTCCCCACTACACTCAAGGAAAGCAAGTTAGTTTATGAGG